TGATAATCAGATCCGGTTCATTTTGAGCAAAGTCCACCCCATTGAGGTATGACGTCACGTGCACAGCCAAGTCACCGAGCCTGACCATCCAATCCATTTGGTCGCCTCTTACCACAAGCATGCGTGGTGGGCGAGCTCGCTAAGGAGCCAGGATAGTGATCCAGCGAGCATGAGGTGACTGGATCGAGCCCACCTGTGACCGGGTGTAAAAACCTTGGAGTCAACTTTGTGTGCAGACTCAGTGTTGTCACAACCCCTAGTGTACAGTACACAACCCTGTGCACTTAAAAGAACCCACGAATCCGTTGGTATATGACCAGATGGTGGCCACATGAATACGTGGAAACACCTTCTTGCATGTACAGCTACGTGCAGTAAACTTGAGTACCTCGTAAGGATGGGAAATCCGCAATAACTCGGTGCGTCTTGTGGCAGCAAAAGTTGTATGATCCCCAGGGAGCTGAGATTGATAATACGATGTGCCGTTGAGATTGACATCCAATGATCGAGGGAAAAAGACCAGCGCCTTGGGCATGCACTAGTGCGTGGATATGTGCGCTTTATAAATATCCAGTAATAATAATAATAATAATAATGCGTCCATGGAGACCTATATTGGAAACCGGAACCCCCTGGGTTGAATGTCTTAGGGTGTGCTCGGTGCGGCGTTAACAATTCTACCCCCGATACCATGGTGCCACAAAACAACATGTGAAACTAGTCAAGCGTTTTCCAAGAAACATACAGTTTAAAACTGCGAGGAAGGAGTGAGTGACTGAGTTTAGTTTTATGCCGCTTAGCAATATATTCCAGCAGTATGTGTTGACGAAGAACTAGGCAGTATCTTGACAATATACGGAATATACCTAGGTTTTATCATACCCATCTATAACCTCAGGTATGGTATGTCGTCGTGCACGCACTGTCCGTTGTCTGTTGCGTGTCACCCATGTGCTTGCCATAAAAAGGCGACTATCTTGTCGTAAGAGGCGACTAACGGGATCGGGTGGTCAGCTTCGCTGACTTGGTTGACACATGTCATCGGTTCCCAATTGCGCAGATCGATGCTCATGCTGTTGATCACTGGATTGTCTGGTCCAGACTCGATTATTTACAGACCGCCGCCATATAGCTGGAATATTGCTGAGTGCGGCGTAAAACTAAACTCACTCACTCACTCACTCTGTTGCGTGTCATATATCACTTACAGTGTATATATCAGATGTTACAAGGTACGGCGTCGATGGCACGATCCTGTCACTGATCTTGGTCGTCGGTGTCGTGGTGCAGGTCATTACTGCTGGTCAAGTTGATGTGCGGAGGGAAGTGTGTTTATGAGCGAGTGAGTTTAGTTTTACGCCACTTTTAGCAATATTTCAGCAATATCACGGCGGGGGACACCAGACATGAGCTTAAAACATTGTACCCATGTGGGGGAATTGAACCCGGGTCTTCGGCGTGACGAGCGAACGCTTTAACCACTCGTCTACCCAACCGCCCCAAGTGTGTTTATGAACAGTGAAAGTTCGTGTTTCTATATAGCACATAATGTCAATGATACAATATCATTCTAAGCCATTTGGTGTTTTCATATTTTTCTTGAAATGTCAAGATGCTTTATTAAAATACCTCAAAATACACGATAATTAGTTCATTACATTAACTTGAGGTCTGAACTTCAAGTGAAAATTCCAGAAAGCATCTTGGAATTTCAAGACAATAGGAAAAAGAGAACCAAGTGGCCCTTAAAGACTTCCGTACAAATCACAGCAAGAGACATAAAAAATAATGTTTACTACTTTATGTTATCGCACGATCAAGGAATGGTTCGTAGATATATATAGGATACACACAAGGGAACCTTAAAATAGCCAAAGTCATAATGAGTTGTGTCCCTTAGGCGTAGAAGGATCCGCCATTTCAGTGTTCTAATGCTATGTTTGCTAGGATTATAAGCCCTGTTCTGGCTGATCGTATGTTTTAAACAGAAGGCGAAAAATATAAAAATAAAAACACGGTCTGTTGGTGTCATCCCACACTAGACGCTCTTGATACAAGTCCTTGAAAAGATTTAGAAGTTGAACGAAAATGAATACATGACGCGTTTTATGAATAACAAGTCATTTTTGTTCTTTATACGACGTTTCAGAGCATATTCTTGCTCCTTCGTCAGGTGAATGACGGATAACGCATTCACCTGATGAAGAAGCAAGAATTCACCCGATGAAGGAGCAAGAATTAGCCGAACAACTGCATATCGTGCACTGAACGTTGGGGTGTGTGTGTGTGTGTGTGTGTGTGTGTGTGTGTGTGTGTGTTAGGTAGGTCAAGCCCATGGATATTGGCACACGTTTGTTGTGCCCTTAAACCTACAATGGTCTTAAGTGCACTGAAATCATAAATAAACATGAGTGGGCGGAACTTATGTGACCACGCCCATGTATATTTATGATATCTGTGCACTTGCATTGAGGATTATTGATTTATTTGTTAACAATGAAATCTACTTATATGCTTTCAGCCTATAATGGACGGCGGATTAGGGGTGGGGATAATACTCTATACTGATAATTCGTTTTCTGTGCCAGTTTTCGGCTGTACCCGATTATGGAATTACATTGCTCTTATTCGGGTGTTGTTTTAGTTGTGTTCACTGTCTTCATGGACCAATGAAATCGACGTTTGTTAATAATGCTTTTGATGTGTATTTTCCTGCAATTGCTTTCTCTCCCTTAAGCTATTTGCAGGTTCCCGGCAGATCATATATGGCTTCCTGTTTATGATCGCAAACACAAACACAGATATACACATATATAATATTATATACCTTGCATAAAGTAGCATACGTTGACAGAAACACGGACACACACACACACACACACACACACACACACACACACACACACACACACACAGATACACCAACAAGGAGAGCCGCTCAGAAACATGCATAAAGCCGTTGACCAATCTATTACTGGTAACAAACGTTGCCGCATACATTGACATACAGACAGTAGTGAAAAACATGGACAGGCTTTCAGACCCATCCATACAGACGCAGACCAATACTAAAAATAACAAACGCAGATGCATAAATTGACATACAGATAATGGCCACAAACATGGACAGGCTTTCAGGCCCATTCATACAGACCCGGACCAATCACAAAGTTACAAACGTTGACGCATACATAAATATACAGACAGTGGTAAATAACATGGACAGGCTTTCAGACCCATACATACAGACGCACACCAATACTAAAAATAATAAACCCAGACGCACAAATAGACATATAAATAGTTGTCACAAACATATAAACATACGGGCTTGTCACAAACATAATAAACGTTGACGGGCAGATAGTGATCAGACCCAGGATTTCAGACCCATACAGACACGTACCAATCATATTAAGGTAATAAACGTTGACGCACACACTGACATACAGATAGTGATCAAAACATATAAACATGGTCAGGATTTCAGACCCATACAGACACGTACCAATCATATTAAGGTAATAAACGTTGACGTACACACTGACATACAGATAGTGATCAAAACATATAAACATGGTCAGGATTTCAGACCCATACAGACACGTACCAATCATATTGAGGTAATAAACGTTGACGCACACACTGACATACAGATAGTGATCAAAACATATAAACATGGTCAGGATTTCAGACCCATACAGACACGTACCAATCATACTGAAGTAATAAACGTTGACGCACACACTGACATACAGATAGTGATCAAAACATATAAACATGGTCAGGATTTCAGACCCATGCATGCAGATGCGTACCAATCATATTGAGGTAATAAACGTTGACGCACACACTGACATACAGATAGTGACACACTCATAATTAACCAATACATTTGAGGTAAAGACAGACACGGACTTGTCCACACGTAGCGGATACAAACACGTGTAACGATGTGGCAGATTTTGGAGAGCCAAACATACACACACTGCAGGCACAGCCAAAAGGTACCCGTGGTATCATGTTGATACAATTCATAGGGTCAGTTTGCTATGTAGGTACACCCAAGAGAGTCATGAACGCTCGGCGTGTACAAAAGAAGTGGTGTTTAAATGTGCACATACACTACAGTGTACACAGTGAGTCAAACACACACAAAAAAGCACGCACACGCACGCACGCACGCACGCACGCACGCACACACACACACACACACCAAAGCAGATGAAGGCGAAGACAGACACAAGCATCGACACTCACCCCCAGTCGCAGACACAGTCACAGAAACACCATTTTACACAGATCGTTGACAAACTACGGACACGAAACCAAATATGAAAACAAAGAGATAATTCATTGCCTCAGTAAAACACTTAGACTAACGCTTAGTCTATGGAATAGAGATACTTTTGATAGTAACAAAAAAAACCCATTTAAATTAAAATTAAAAGGTGCCCTAGACAGATGGGAGATTCAGAACCTAAGCTTGATGAAATCTAGAATTGCATCATTTAGGGTTTCAACATTGCATTTGGGGAAATAAGACGGTTCAGGGACTGTAAAATTGAATATAAGAACGTCTCAATTTGCTTCTTACCACCCTGTAGATGACGTCAATTCATTCCATTCAAAAACATTGTCTTCTCAAATGTCACACCTAATCTCAATATAAATAAATCTAATCCGTAATCCATTGGCATGTTTACCGAAGCTCCACATCACGTTCATTCTGGACGTGACATATATTGACCTACGGGTAGGGATCGGTCGTCACGGTGTAATGATATTAAAATCCGGCGTGCGAATACCTCTCGCCTATCAAGCATGATATCTGTATAAGAAGTGAGCCTATTGAATGCAGAACAATAAGTGCGTGAGTAGTTCTCAATACAACGGATTGGATTAATAATGCACCTCGGTTGTATAACCAGATTCTAGCTTTATCCCACGAGTTCGTTTGACCTACCCAGTCCAATACTGTGGGTCATGACGGTAAGAACATGGTGAAGTTAAGGAAAGGAGTAGCAGCACTACAAATGACTAGCGAAAACAGAGACATTGACTCGGTAGGTTGTTGTTTTTTCTACATGTTTCGGGACGATGGGGTAGCCTAGTGGTTAAAGGGCTCGCTCGTCGCGGCGATGACCCGGGTTCGGTTCCCCACATGGGTATAATGTGTGAAGCCCATTTATGGTGTCCCCCGCCGTGATATTGCTGGAATATTGCTAAAACGGCGTAAACTAACTCGCTCACTCACTTGTACATGTTTCAGAGCAAAACGCCAATAAAGAAGAGGCTGGCCCAGTTGTGATTTGCGACAATTCGCCTTACAGAGGAAATCCTGTACGTCGTTCTAGGCGTCTGGAGTCTTGCGTTTAAATCTCAAATTTCGAGAGGAAGGATTTCCCGCGACCGTGGATTTTCTGTTAACTTGTAACACTTAAGTTCTGGTCTTCCTCCAGCCGATATGCTGTGATACAAGCGAATTCCTTTTTGAACTACGTAAACCCAACTCTTCCGATAACGAAGTTTTCTATTTTCTTCACAGTCACAGTCGATGTTGAAGGATTACGGCGACGACAACTATATGTCCAAACTGTATTTTTAAAGAAACATCGTAATGGTCTGATCTTCCAACGTCATATATAACTAACGTTTTACGCCGCTTTCAACAAGGCGGGGACAACAGAAATGGGCTTCACACATTGTATTATTAAACCACTGTCTGTATGTCATTGTGTGCGTCAGCGTTTATTACAGTTATGATAGGTACGTGTCTGTATGTATGGGACTGAAAGCAAGTCCATGTGTTTAACTAATATCTGTATGTCATTGTGTGCGTCAACGTCTGTAAACTTTACGATTGGTTCGTGTCTGTATGTATTGGTCTGAAAGCCTGTCCATGTGTTTAACTAATATCTGTATGTCATTGTATGCGTCAACGTTTGTTATTTTTATGATTGGTTCGTGTCTGTATGTATGGGTCTGAAAGCCTGTCCATGTGTTTAACTAATATCTGTATGTCATTGTGTGCGTCAACGTTTGTAACTTTACGATTGGTTCGTGTCTGTATGTATTGGTCTAAAAGCCTGTCCATGTGTTTTACTAATATCTGTATGTCAATGTATGCGTCAACGTTTGTTATTTTTATGATTGGTTCGTGTCTGTATGTATTGGTCTGAAAGCCTGTCCATGTGTTTTACTAATATCTGTATGTCAATGTATGCGTCAACGTTTCTTACCATTATGATTGGTCCGTGTCTTTATGCGTGTTTCTGAGCGGCTCTCCATGTTGGTGTATCTGTAGCAGCTAAGTGTGTGTCTATGTTCGTGTTTGTGTCAAGTTACTGTCAACGTATGTTATTTCATGCACTGTAATACTATATATGTGTATATCTGTGTTTGTGTTTGTGATCATAAACCGGAAGCCATATATGATCTGCAGGGAACCCGCAAATAGAGAGAAATCAATTGCAGGAAAATACACATCAAAATCATTATTAACAAACGTCGGTTTTACATTTTTTGCTCATTGGTCCATGAAGACAGTGAACACAACTTTAACAACACCCAGGTACAGCACTGTAAGTCCATAACCCGTGAAGGTCAGGGTTACAATGAATCTTCAGTAACCCATGCTTGTCGTAAGAGGCGACTAACGGGATCGGGCGGTCAGGCTCGGTGATTTTGTTGACACATGTCATCGTATCCCAACGGCGTCAATCGATGATCATGCTTTTCATCACTGGATTGTCTGGACCAAACTCGATTATTTCCAGACCGCCGCCCTAATATGGCTGGGATATTGCTGAATGCCGCGTTAAACAAAACAAAACTTTCATTTCAAAGACACATTGCAAATACATAAACAAGTTCATCATTACGGCTGTCTTTGTAAAGTTCTAATCCAGTCCAATCGCCAAGATTGATTTGTGAGCTCCAGGCTAAATGTACAATGAAATATATATCTGAATATACGTTGACAGAAAATCTCCAGCTGAGGTGTTACGGCCTTCCCAGTGTGTTTCCATATCGTTGTGAATATAGTTGACTGCGGGGTCAAATAACATACACTTAACTTCAGCCCCGTTAGCCCTGCTTCGATACCCCGATTGGGTACAATGTGTTTAACTCATGGTTGACGCCCCTGACTAAAAGGGGGGACAAATCCCTAACTTCTACTTGCTTATGTCTCTTTATATCCAAAATATGTATTTCGTCAGGCTATGCTTATATATGCCTCAATTCTGGATTCATCTACACTATCTGAATGGTAGAAATCACTTCCTAATGATAATCATTCACATTAATATTTTTTCAGCCATCGGTAACGTGGAATGACTATGTCGACGTGTTCATGAATGGTGGATTTGCCTCAAAGATCTCAATTCACAGCATTGTCGACGGCAAGGTGTGGGCAGCGTCACCCAACGCCCTCTTCCACCCTGTGGAGGTCAAGGACATTATTGACGGCTTCGATGACTCGTCAAAACTTCACCTACAAGGGATATGCTTGGGGGGTAGGGTGTTCACCCTCACCAGGGTGACCGGTGCAAGCATCATGGTGGGTCGGGACGCCCGCACTGCTGCCGGCTGTGTCATTTTCAAGGCTAACACGTGCGTGTTGATTGCTATGTACGAAGAAGGAACCCACCCCGGGAGCTGCTACAGCACTATGGTTAAAATCGGGGATTATCTTCTTGATAAAGGTTTCTGATTTAGGGAACCACATAGGATTGCCTTGGTTTTATACAACAAAGATGACGTGGCTTTATTCGTTTCCTTACCGTACTGGATCAGGACGAGGAATGGATAGGACAAGAACATACAGGACATAAATATAAAGGGTGAGGAATATAAAGATATTATCACCCTGACAGATACCATTTAATCTACGTGTTGTTTCACAGCGTATCTAACGAGTGAAAGGAAAGAAGCCCGTCATAATCAACCGCTCATTACGGCGGAGTAGCCAATCACGGACCAGGAATTCGATCTCACGCGTATGCTTGAAACTAGTTATCTCCCATGGGTTTCTCACCCTCCTGTGTGTAAGATAAGACCGTTTAGCTTGGTTTTTGTGTGGTGATTGTCGATGTACAACTTGTCCTGAAGATGATGGCTGGATAACAGGTTACATTGGTGACCTTCTGGTCACGGACCTGATCCAAGTACCGTGGTTGCTCTGGACAACAGACCCTAGTATTTTGACAAGATGGAAGGTTGGGAATTCAACAAAGTCACTTCCATACTGACGTATTTGTAAAGATGACCAAAGGTGACCATTTGCATTATACGCGTTAACCATGGCGCACTTAAACGAGTGAGTGAGTGAGTATGGTTTACGCCGATAGTAGCAATATTCCAGCAATATCACGGCAGGGGACAGCACAAAATGGTTTCACACATTGTACCCATGTGGGGAATCGAACCCGGGTCTTCAGCGTGAAGCGCAGACGCTTTAACCATTAGGATATCCTACCGCCCCCATTTTAACGAACCAAATGCATTATTTTCCTACTTCCTATGCACTATGGAATTTGTTTCTTACATTCAGATGGCAACCTACAACGGTAGTTAAGCAAGGTATATAACGTAGTTCCTCGGCCCTAACGACTTGCAATAAAATGGTAACCCGGATGAAAGTTCTCGTTGAAATGTTCCAGGAGGTAGGAATCCATCCCTGTTTCACAAATGTTGTATAAGGTGATTAAATGTTTCAGGGGTATTTCATTCCGTCGCATTAAAGATATTTTTGTTCTCCTTGGTTGGACTTTGTTTGATTTCTAAGTCACAGTTTGGTGTCACAAAGCGCATACGTCAAACCTATGGTTTTGAGTTCGAATGCTGGTTCGTCCTGACCTAGTTTCCAGGTTTGTTGTTACTCGGTTTGTTGTTTTACGCCGCACTCAGCAATATTCCATCGGCGCTCTGTAAATAATGGAGTCTGGACCAGACAATCCACTGATCAACAGCGTGAGCATCGATCTGCGCAATTCGATCTGGGAATTGACATGTGTTAATCAGGTCAGCGAGTCTGACCACCCGATCCCGTTAGACGCCTCTTACGACAAGCATGGGTTACTGAATGGTCATTCTACCCCGGATCTTTACGGGTTTCTAGGTTTGTCAGCACTACATCAGTGCTCCGAATTTCACCGAAGGGGTAATCAATGTGGTGTCTTATTCTCTTAGGATTGTATACTCTATATTTTAAATGGGGCAAGTGTGGCTCTTTCGTACAACGCGATGCATTTCGCTGTGCAGAGTTGCGTCCCTTAGGTATGTCAGAAACTGATGATCATTGGTTCGAATCCCGATTCTGATGATTTCGATATGGGTGCGCGTGTGTTTCACCAAAGTGGTAAATGAAGGATTACGATTACAATTATCCGCAGAATGAGTGAGTGAGTATGGTTTTACGTCGTGTTTTTAACAATATTCCAGAAATATCAGGGCGGGGGACACCAGAAAAGGGCTTCACACATTGTACCCATCTGGGGTATCGAACCCGGGTCTTTGGCGTGACGAGCCAACACTTTAACCACTAGGCTACCCACTGCCCCTTATCCGTAGAAGCAGATTCCAGGTAACAATGTGATGTACATAGAAACGGCAAAAATCTTTCCACTGTCGTCAGGAATCTCTGCTATATCATGAGTATGTGTTTGTTTCACACCGCATTCAGCAGTATTCCATCTGTAAGACGCGTTCTACAAACAATCGACCAGAAAATCCAGTGATTGCATCAGTGGAAATTAGCCATTCTCAAGCCATTAGCCAAGCGCAAAGAGTCCTTTGCGTAGATTTGCGCAAAGGTAAATGTTTTATTTTCAAATGATGCAATATATTGAACATAAAGATCACTCAATGACAACTGTACATTATGCACAATACAATAAATAAATTATTCACATATTACAACAATCTCAAGATCATTTGGGGACAGGCCAGATGTTCAGTTGCTCCTGTTTCGGTAACGGCGGCGTTGACGAAGTGACTTCTTCTTCCTCATGAACTCCTGCAACATATATGACAAATGGATATGACACATCTTTACATCTTTACCGTCTTTACATTGAATAACTCAGGGATTCACTCATCTCAAAACTGAGCCATCATTACATGTAACGCATACACGCCAAAGGGGCACAACTCTGCACTTGCAACAAGTATGGCTACAGGAACACTAGCGTTTTGGGTTTCTCCGTTTTGTTTGTTGTTTAACGCCGCACAGAGCAATATTTAGAGCGGTATTTAAATAATCGAGTCTGAACCAGACAATCCAGTCATCAACAGCATGAACATAGATCAATTAGGATACGATGACATCTGTCATCAAAGTTAGCAAACCTGACAACCCGATCCCATCAGTCGCTTTTTATGACAAGCATGGGTTCCTGAAGACCAATGTTAACCCGGACGTTCACCGGTGGTTTGGTATGGATGTGCACTGTGGTGTATTTCATTTTCAACTATTCTCCATTTCACGTTGTAGTAAGAAGATTGATGTGCCAATAATTTAAAATTCTACTTACATTAAGTTCTTCAGTGAACTCCTCATCGCCTGGTTTGGTTTGATTTGCAGATCTCCATTTGATGTTGGGCATGTACTGAAACACAGTAAAATACAAGTAGATTAGTGTTGAACTGATTGTTTTATTTTAGGTCGATTTGACTCATTTCCTGTACCTGGGAACGAATGCGCACGAAAATCACACACCTTATCGTAGTATTGTTGGATGGTCTCTCTGTCTGGAGTGTATCGGTCTACAGCATTCCTGACTCTGTCAACATAGGCGTCCATGTCGGGAAGAGAGTCCAGAGACTTGAGTGGAATGGGCAGGTACACATCCATCTGGATTTCACCATGTTCGGGATCCCACACAGTGACCTTGGATTTCTCCAGAAAGTTCAGGTACTGACTGTATTTCTGGATCTCCTCATCAACCATCTCCTTGATGATCTCATAGAGGCTGTGGATATGCTTTTGTAGATTCTCCTCCACCTGCCAGTAGTTGTATGCCCACACACCCTGAAGGAACGTTGCATGTCATTAGTATGACCTAATCAAGCATTCAGGATTTATGTTAGACTGACTTGGGTATATATGTATTCTTAAGAAGCATTAGATCCTATAATTAGCAACCAGCAAGTTTTAATTAACTTTAGCAGTTGATGACAATTTTGTTTTTCAGATTACCTCTTGGTAAACGTTGTTGGCCAGAGATCTCATGTGCTTGACATTTTCATGTTCCAGAACATTGGCCAGATTACTGTTGATCATCTCACGGGTATGGTAGATGGCAGAGTTGTATTTCTCGGGGATGTTCAAACCGTGCACTCGCTCCTGGAGCATTGTGATGTACCTTTGGTAATCAATGTCTGATATTCTCTCTTTGAGGGCAACAAGTCTGGGGTGGTTGTTGATTCTCTTCATGGAATCTGCAAACACAAAATCCAAAATACTCACTTAACACTTTACGATAGAGAAAGCTTTCTTTCGTTTTTCGCCATCACTTCACGTAATCACAAATAGATATACAGTGGTATTGTAGAGCTCCATACTTTCTGACAACATAAACTTATACCTTTAACTCCATCCTGGATTCTTTGAGCTTGGAACTGGTATTGTTCTTTGAGGGCGTTCAGTTGGTCATCAATCTTGCTTATAATCTCAACAGCATATCCCACACCGTGATCGATGACAGTCTACAAAACACAAAACCCTTCATCAAGCCAGTTGTTTTTGTAAAGACCTAAAATCAATGGATGGGAAGACATCTTTGACTGCAAATCATTAGTTCCAAATTCACTGGTTGGATATCCATCAAATAAATGTAAAGAGTTAGTATGCATGACTGTATTTTGATGTCCTTTACCATTGAATGTGGATCAGGAAGTTTTACCTTTAGTTTGGTAAGGGACTGGAAAACCAACTCTTGGTACTCTCTGTTGATTGGGTAGTTCTTCAGTTCCTCCAGGTAAGATGTCATTGCCTCGCTGATCTCAGCAAACGTGGCTTTTGTAGCAGTGACGAAATTCTTGTAGCTCTCACTGTTAAAATTGCGGAAAAAGGATATACCAAATCTCACAAGAATTTCTTCAAAACTATACCTACATCTGGTAAAATGACAAATAATTACTTACAACGCTGATAGGAATGTGTCTCCCATGTCTGCAATGTAGAGGTCGTTTCGGCTGTACATGCGTCTGATGTCACGTTTGATGTTATCTAGCTGAGCCTCAATGCTTTCCATCTCTCTCTCAATGAGTGTTACGAAAGGGGCAATGTCCTCACTGAAAGCTGCTGCAATTCGATGGTATTTTCCACTGATTTCCCGTCCAACAGATTCATAGAGGTCATGGAATTCACTCTTTGCCTCCTGCCCAAACCTCCGAACCTTGCCAGTCAAGTAATCTTGGATTTCCCGAACAACTTCTGGCCTCCAGGAAATCCTGGTGTGGAGGATTCTTGATGTATTAAGGCGAACGAACACAAGGCTGTCTGTGACTTGTCCACTGCTGCTTGCACTATACAGCTCAGCTTTTACTGCAGTGGAGTTGATGTAGTTGGCATGCAAGTTGATGGTGTTATCTGGGTTGTCTGAAAATCAAAGCACACCAAAAAATAATGTCACCAAAGCGGGTGAGTAAACTTTAAACAAATTGTGACATACATCAAGAGAAAGGTTACAGCAAATGTATAATTTTAGTGATACGAAACAACAATAAGGTTTGGTTCATGTAATTACCAAGATCATAGTTCGTCTGGAAGTCAACAAATCTCCTCTCCTTGTCAAAGGTCATCACACATTTGAGGCTGCGGTCATCACCATAATTGTTGCTGATTCTAAGACGATATGGGTTGGTGGTATCAACCTCTCCTGACAGAGTCATCGTTGTCAAAGGGGACATCATCTATGGAAACGCAATGAACATCTACAATTGTGTCCTTTTTAGTACCACTATCACATCAACATGGAATATTTGGACCCACTTCCTTTATAAATGTAAAAGGACATGATAAAAGCCTTGTGGCTAGTATGATTTCTTTCATAAGCTTAGGAAACTTGGAAGGTCTTTCAGCGGAAGCCAGCATATCGATGCGCGTTAGAAGAATTCTCGAACATTTTCATCAAATATTAACCTGCAGCTCAGAAAATCAAGGAGGATTTCATAATGATCATGTATAACACCACTTTTCCCATACTCTACATATTGGCAGCTATAGTTTTCCAAATAACTGATGTAATTAGTTTGTATCCAAAATGTACTGCAGCTGACCTGAAGATCAAGTTGCTTTCTGAGCCGGTTGATTTCACCACGAAGGGCAAAGTTCTTTCGCTCACGCCTGGCAGTTAGGTATTTGACATCCATACCACTGGTGTACTTGTTACTGGACATGCCAATATTGGATGTCAGCCTCACATCAACATCAGTGTAGGGGTGGGAAACCTCCATTGTCATGCTGTAGTTCTTGTTGGAGTAGCCATATGATATATCCTCAACTTTGGAGCTCAGAGTTAGCGTTTTTCTGGAGTCTGAAGAGTAAGAGAGTTCTGTCTTGCCGTCAAAGAGGGTTCGCCCATCATTCAATGTCAGCTCAGTATCAACCTTGATATCCTGTAATGAAAGTCAGATGCACGTTGAAATATCTTACGTTACTTTTTATTGAAGCACAGACACACAACAATGGGATACATGTGGTCTCACCTCAGCCAAGTGAGTTTGTTCAAACTTGACTCTGTTCACCCAGCAGAAAATGGGTACCCGCTGGGATAAGTCATGTGACTAATAATCTAGCGCCTCACTGGCAGGTTGGGTTATCCAGGATAATTATAGTCAGAGTGTTAGTACTATGAGCATTAGCCTAGTGAATGGAGTTTTAGCGCATTATAAATGCACAATTATAATGGTCTGAACAGTAACGAAATGCAGCTTCATTTTGGACAGAATAAAAATCATTTGTACCCACCTTTCCGATGGAAGGCAGTCTCAGGCTAAGTTCGGCCCTCTTTTTGATGTCACTGGGAGAAAGAACAGCTGTAATACCAATTTGTTTCGTCTGATCACGAGCAGCATCCCAGAAAAATGTACCATCCACTACCTTTTTCCCACTGGCATTGCTGAATGACCCATCCATTTTGAATCCCCGCACAGGAGTTCCCAGGCGTAGTGAACCATCGTACAGTGTGTTGTATCTGCGACTCTTATCCGTCAGGTCCAGATCATAGGAGAACATCTGTCCAGCATCTTCATTCCAAATAAGCTGACCAACACTTTTGGTCTGTCTTCCACTCTTGGCAATTGTACCAGTGACACCGAGTGTTCTAGCAGGGTGAATCAATTTGATTGTCATGGCCTTGTCGATGGTGTTTGCTGCACTTTGGTCATTGAGAGATGTTTGGAATCTGACATTGCTCTCTGGTTCATCTCTATCCCAGTTGACAAACAGCTCAGTGTCGATGTTCCTGTCTCCAAACTCACCAGACACTGTGTACTGCATTGCTCTTGGCTTTCTGAATGTAATGATGCTTTCATGTTTGTTTGCCTTGTTGTACTCCATGTCAACATCCAGGACAGTCCTTCCATTGTAGTCAGCTTCAATCGTCTGAGTTGACCTTTCATTCCCTCGACTGTGTTCGATTTTCAGTGCTCCTTCCCTCAACATTTCGAAAGGTGTAGACAGAGAAGCATCTGCAGAGAGTTGTTTCTCCGCAAAGTCGCTTGAGTATAAGTAGGATCCGTCCAGAACAATCTGTTTTCTTGGTGCCCAGGCCGCTACAATGTGGGACCTTTGTCTGCTACTTCTCAAACTGTTTTCAACAGAGAGTTTTATGTTGTCTGTCAGAGATATTAAAGCATCCATTTCAACTGGAGATGTGTAGTGTAGGGAAGCTTCTCCAGAAACTGTACTAATGAGTGGAGATCTCATGTCCAGTGTAGACCGGAAATTCTTCCATTCCCCAGTATGGGTGATTGAAATTTCATTGTTTCTAAGGGATTCCAGGGGCGTTTTAAGTGTGGCTGTGGCTGTCATTGGTGATGTCGAGAGGTCAATTGTAGAATCCAGAGCAACTGTATTCTTTCTTCCTGCACTTATCTTGCTGACCAAGACATACCTTTTCATGGATGTTTCCAAAGACCCAGATGCAGACATTTCCCTGAGGCCAGTAAAGGGGGTCCTAGCTTTCAGCATTATTTCATATTTGGGTGACATACTTGCACTCATTTCGGCACTTATCTTTCTTTGTGCCCCATACTCAACATCAGCATTGCACTTGATAGAGTTACTGTCTCCTCTGTGCCTGAATTCAACCTTTGTAAACTCTAAACCGTTAAATGGAGTAGTGACTTCAATACTCGACAGGATTCGTCTCAACTTATTGTTCATGTGGCTGATTTTTCCAGATAGTTCTCTTCCGTCCATGTACCGAATAGTTCCTTGTGATGAAAACTTGTTCAGGTCTCCAGAGTGATCAAACGTGAGTGCAAGATCTCTGAAGGACTCGAAAGGAGTATCAACACTGACCTCACCACGAATGCTGCCAACGGATCTAAGAGCTGCTTTCATGTTAATGTTTTGGTCACCATAGGTTGCTGTGAGGAAGGCTGTAAGATCCTCAAGTCGTCCATCCTTCCCAAGTTTGAGGGCATAGTTGTTTCCAAATCCAGACATACTGTACGCAACATTACTGTCCATCTTGATAGCAAGATTTTCCATGTTGAATGCAACATTTCCTGTGAGTGTTGCATCTTGACCCATGTTGGCAGACACCTGGCTTTTAAAGTTGGAAAATATGCCATTATGATCGATGTTGAATGTTATTTCCTGTGTGTATGGGTTTCTCAGTATAAAGGCAGTAACAAGACGTCTTCCTGTGAAACGGTTGTTCAGAGATACCTCAGAAACTGAATCACGTAGAGAAATCTGTGCGCCTGTCCTGAGATTACTTAGAGTGCCTTCTCTGTTTGCTTTAATTTTAAGACTCTCATAACCTTCCATGTTTGTGCGGATGACAAGGTCCACTTTGCTTGACTCTCCATGCATGAAACTGGAATCAGCAGTCATGGTCTTTCCAGCCATCTCAAACTCTGCATGGCTTTTGCAGTTACCGAGTGGGCCTTCATGGGTGATAATCAGTTTGGATTCTTCAAAGGACTGGAAGGGTGTTCTGACGTCAGCTGACATCTCTACCTTAGGGGAATTCATTGCAGAAACGTCTGCTGTAAGTTTCTTGCCTTGTCCATATTGAACTCCTGCATTAGCTGTTATTTTTGTATCACTCAGTGTGTGACGGTAAGTAGCTGATTGGGAGCCAGTAAATGGTGTTCTGATCTCTGCCTTAGTATCAATCCATTTAAGGCCATCATGAGAGAATGCAACATTACCCTCAGCAGATTGTCCATCCATGTACCTGATGACGCCCTCGCTGTTGAATCTGTTGATGTTCCCTGAATGTTTGACTGTCACACCAATATCTCTAAATGGCTCAAAGGGTGTTTGGATTGTAAGACTTCCATCTATGTCTGTGATCATCTTCAACGCTCCTCTGATTTCAATACGCTCGCCATTATATTCTCCAGTCAGTTGGCTGTTCATGTTGTTTACTTGTCCTTCTTTGTGGAATGTTAACCTCATGTTCCTGCTGCCCTGGTCGCATTTTGATGCAAGGTTTGTATTAAAATCAATGGTTGATTTCCTGAGGGTAAATCCTGTTTGAGATGACATGGAATATTTGCTACCAACAGACCCTCCTACTTTAGTTGTAAAGCTTGTGAGTTGGCCGTTGTGATCAACTGACATATGGATGTCATCGATGAATGGTGTTTTGATCAGAAGGACAGAATCAAGTGATGAGGATGTCAACCTGTTGGTGAAAGTGGCTTCAATTTCCTGTGCATCAGCATATGTCAGAGCTAAACCTGATTCCAGGCTCCTTATTCCTCCTCTCCTGTAGATCGACGCTTTGGTCATCTCAAAGTTGGTAAACGGTGTCTTCAGTGTGAAGGAACCCTTTGTTTTATCTCCATGTTCAAATTTAATGTCCATTTCACTTTGGCCATACCCGTTAAATTGCAGCTCTGCATGACTCTTGAAGTCAGTTGGTTCACCTTCATGCCGAATAGAGGCTAATAGTTGAGAGAAACTATCGAAGGGACTGTAAAGCACGATAGATCCATCAATTCCGTTGTTCCATTTCAGATTGAAACGTCCTGCTACTGTTTTATAGGGTGCATATGTTACTTCAAAATCAGAGACGACACCTCGACGGCGGAGGACATGGTTTAAAGTTACAGAAACGTGCTCAATGTTTTCAAGTGGTGCGCTGAGGCTTACATCTAGATGAATATTTTCCAGTGAATTCAGTTTATATGTGACATCAAGGAACATTTTCTGCTGAGGGTGGTACTCGACCTCTATACGAGAGTGCCTCTTGCCATTGTTCTGTTTCTGGCTGGAGAGGATCATCTGCATATATCGAAGTGTTTCCAAGGGAGTATCGATTCTGACTTTTCCTGAAACATCTGAATTGGCATAGTTCCAGTTCATTACTGCAGCATACTTTCCAGTGATTGGCTGAATTTCAAAATCTGCTCGACTGTCAAAGGTCATGAGTCCACCACTATACTCGATTCCTGTATCCAGCACTCTCAGGTCATCAAAAGGTGTCTTTAGAGTTACTCTTGCCTTCTTTATCATTCCAGTGTTGATATGGGATTCCAGTTCAATGGATTGTCTGGGAGCATAATCTAGAAGAGCATGTGACAGCCATTCACTATTTTCATATTTGTTAGACGCCTTCAACAGAATGTTTCTGAAGTTTTTGAATGGAGTGGTAATTCGAAGCTCACCATCAAGATTCTCAATTGATGCAAGATCAATAGACCCATCTGCCGAAATCATTTCACGTGGTGCCCATTCAAACTCAACATGGCTAGACATTGGGTAAGAGTTGTATCTTGAGTTCAATTTTCCTTTCAGGTCATGTGTGCTTGGTGTAGTAATGATAAAGTCAAACTCTGCCAATTCCACTGATCGCCTGTAGTTGATCTCACTTGAGGCGAGGATGGATTTTTCCTTCTTGAAATGAGCAATGCTGCGGATATATCCTCTGCCAAATGCATTGCTCAAAGAGATGTCAATATCCCTCACAGGTTCCCAGGGTGTTTGAAGGAGAAGACCTCCGGTTGTAGTGTATCTTGCAGAAGAGTCATGATTCCCATACAGGTCGAAATGAACTCTTCTTCCTCTTCCCCATTCGGAAGTTAAAGTGGTCTTCAAATCCCTTCCTGTGTTTTTGTGAGTCCATGTGCTGGCTATTCTGCGCTTTGGTGACAGAAGGATCAATTTACCCTCATTTTGGTACTGCCAACCCGTCAGAGCATGTGTCATAACAAGGTTATACTGATAGCGATCACCATTTACATCAGCTGTTAGTTCCGTCACAAATTCCCTGTTATCATCTTTGTGTTCCATCTGCACAGAGATGGACTTCATGTTGGGAATGTTGGACCTCAAAGTAAAACTGCCTTCAACATCACGATCATGTAAGTCTCCTTTGTTTCGAGCAGAGAGGGTGACTGCAGCATTTCTTCCTTCAATGGCCCCGTTGATGTTGGTATTCAGCTGTTGGTCTGACATGGAATGGTCCAGCTTGGCATTCATTCGTCTGTATCCTTTGAAGGGTGAAGTAGCTGTTATACTCAGATCAAAGCTCCTGGGGGAGTATGGCTTCTTCAAAACAATGGCACCATTGATTGCATTTGATCCCAATTCCAATTTGGCTGTTGAGCTGTACCGTTTGGGAAGATTATCAACACTCATTTCAGCTGACATCGATTCATACTTCTTGAAAGGCGTTTTCATTCTGATAGAGCCTTTAATATTCCGACTGCTGGTTGACAGTTTATTGTTGTACGTTGTATCAAGAGAGATCTGTTTCTTAGATGACCAGGAGAAGTCAGCATGGGACATCGTGTCATCTCCACCTTGGTGTTTAACGTTCAGTTTTAGGACTCGTGATGGATATTTCAGTGATAGAGATGAATCAATATCATTGACTGATTTGTAGTCAAGGCTTCCTTGTAGATTCACTTTCTGCTGATTGTCCTTGTCAGCATCCCATTTAGCATCAACGGATCCAGCATAAATACTTCCCCTTTTACCACCTTCTACTTCGACAATGATGTGGCGGGCTGGGTAGGTAAGATCAAATGACCATTTTCCTTTGGGATCTTTGGTATATTTGTAGGCTGTAGCAACACCATAGGTCTTCTTGGCATGGTCCACTTTTCCCGAAACATTAAAATCTTTCATGTCGAGATCTATTTTACCCATAACCCTGGTTGGTTTCATGGAATGGAGATTGATCTGTGAATCCACACTGTGGACGGTTCCCTTTTGTTTGCTGTAAGTTGTGACAACCGTCGACTTGGTTTTGTCCAGTTTGAGAGTGATTTCATGCCTATAGTTCTTTTTCTTCTGAGTAATTTCAGTCTTCAAGTTGATATCTTTGAATGGGGAGTCCAAATTGAAGACACCAGACATTTTCAAGCCTTTCTTGCTGCTGTCCTTTAAGTTCAAGGAGGCTATTATTGCCTTTCCTTTAGCATAGTCTAGCTGCATGTTTGACAGAAGTGTATTCTTATCATGCTTGTGTTTTCCGTTCAGTCGGATGTCAACATCCTGAAACAAATATATAGACCATGGATAGAATATTTCTTTTAAAATGTAGATAACTAACATAAAATACCATATGCTCATTACCTATTCTAGACATCGTCCTAAATTATGGAGGATTCACATTGCTACAAAACAGAAGTTATCGTTTTCAGACATGGATATTCCTCAGTAATTAAGGACAATAGTGGTGATGCTGGATATTTCCTTATGGGTCGGTCTCCTGTTTGTGTCACTGTTGTCATTGATCTATATTGTTGTGTTCCAGATAAAGGTGTAGATTCATAAACAATGTCACTGTGGTTTAAAATCTGAATATTTTCAGCATTATCCATCTTTGACATACCTTTAGTGGGAATTTAGCTTTCACGTCATATCTGACATTTGCTGATTTGGCTCCCACATCATGGCTGATATCAACAGTAGTGGAGAGGGAGTTACTTGGATCCTTCTGCTTCTTTCCATACTTCAGCTGCATGTGACCTCCAGTCTGCTTTTTGTTGTGGGTGAAGTCGAGATCTGTTTCGAAGTTCCAGTCCTGGTTCCTCTTGGATACGAAGTTTCTGAAGAGACAGCAAGTATACTTCAGGTTTTGTCACAGACTGGAAATTCACACGACAAAAACATTTCCACAATCAGAAGAAATTAGAGCTAACAGTGTGATTCCGACAATATCATAAGCTATTTATGAATCACTATTCAAACACTGACGATATCAGGCGTTCATCAAATTGTGAACATATTGACCTAATGGATGCACACACTATAAATCATGCTAAGGCAAGTCGGGGATTCACATTAACTTAAACAGGATGAAGTCAAATTTTAATTATGCTTTTGAATGTTGAAACCCTGATGTTAACAACTTATCCCCAAACTTCACATAGGAGTTAAAGTAGTGTGCATTTATACTTACGCATTCAGGATATAATTCAATGTTGACTTTGTACTTCTGTTGGTAAATTTGGAACTGATATCAAATCTATTTGGCTTGATGAACTTCACGGCAGGAACACTGTAGATGACGGTAAGTGTTGAGGACCCACTATTCTTCTTCTTCAATTCGACACCACCCTCAAGTTTGACATTGACCAACTTGGATTTCACATTGACAACACCTGAGTATTTGACATTTCTCCCATCGTTGACTCCGAGTTTCCCTATAAAATATAGAAGGAGATACAGTCAAGTAAAGATCCGATGTTGGTTATTTTCCTTTTTACTTTATGGTGATTTTCAAGATTGCGAAGGATGAACAGGAAAAACTTACATTTGGCTGTGAGTGGCTTAGGAAGGACCTTGTAGACTGAGAGAGACATGTCACCTTCAAAGGATTTCTGGGACTTGTAAAGGGAGTTTCCTTTGAGGTTGATCAGTTCATACTCTGGCATTGCAACAACAAGTCTTGGGATGATTTTGATAATGGGGTGATTCTTTCCAGTGTTCCTGTTGACGAGGCTGGTGTCAATGCTGTAACCTTTTTTGTTGCCCAAATTCAGCTCAGCTGTCATGCTTTTTTCATTCTTTGTGTTCTGAAGATTGGCTACGGGGAAGAAATCATGAACCACAAGTTACTTATAAAATATTTGCCATTATGCAAGATATCTGAAAACGAAGTGCTGTGAAATATAGAATGATAAAAGTTTAAATAGACTTACATTTGAGCATGATTGGGTTGTCCCTGATTCCTTCCAGAGACAAGTCAACGTTTGCTTTCCTCGACCCCTGAGTGTTTACAGAGCCAGACAGAAGAATAACTTTGGCTCCTGGCTGTCTGATCTCGAAGCGTGGTTTGTATGTCACAGCATCTTTTCCTTTGACAATCTTCACTTGTCCCACTAAGCCATACTCATCTTTCTCATCCAACAAAAGGTTACCACCAACACCAAGCAGCTTTTTTTGGTCAGTGTCCAAATTGCCTTAAAGTAGATTCACAGGGTCTTACTTAAATAATGTACACATTATGGACGTTGGGAACTTATCATTCAATGTCCTTATGGTGATAGAAGAGCATAAATATCATTTGAACATTACTTTGCAAATGTACTTTTCCTTTGTATAAATTCCTGAAGTATTTCCTTACCTTTCGCTGTTGCCTTCTTCCAGGGAGAAACTACTTCCAGTTCAAACTCCTTGTTCTTGTAGTTGACAGTAACATCCATGGATATGGCTCTGTTAGTACTAGATCCAGGAGTGTTAAAAGCAAACTGAGCTGTGCTGGAGGCCTTGTTCTGAACATAAATGGTTAGACTTATGAAATGAAAGTATGAACGGAATCTATTTCAATAGCTCACAATGTATCCATACAATAATAATACGAACGTTTTGAAACCTTTAGTACAATATTGTTATAGACCCAATAGTCTGGCAAATATATTATCTATGTTTGTTTTGGAGTATGATACTGAAAGGAATATTACACATACCTCTGTGCGCTTTGCCAGAAATCTATAGCCACTGTGTGTGTCTCTCTTTAGAAGAGTCATGCTGTAGGAAAATGGTCCAGTGAATGGAAAGTATGGAGCTCCATTTGTTAAGGATGCATTGGCCCATTGGAATTCATTGCACAGCTCAACACCAGTAATTTGTGCAAGTCGTTCACCAGTGCAGAGCTTCAGGTCCTGACGATTATCAGTTATAAGTTTCTCTTCTTGTTCCAGGTCCCCATGAAGGGAGAAGAAGGTGGTTCTAAAACGAAGAAGAATAGTTTATTTCTAATGTACATTTTTATCAGCTGCATCCAACCTACATTTTCATTATCCTAATACGCACAGCAAGCAGACAAGCAATTAAAAAGAAAATACAAGTTGACCTTTTCACCAAAACTATTCACTTCTGTGAAGAAAGCCACAGCAACCAATGTTATTGCAAAAGATTTGAAAACGTCTTGTAGATGAAGAGGTGCATGGGTGTCCTAGTCGCCTAAGCTGCAATAATCTTCACTGCAGAGTTGCGTCCCTTGGCCAGAAACCTAGGATCATGATGTCAAATCCCACTTCAAGCCAGTTATGTTTCTAGGTCTGTCAGCACCATACCCTAGCTGGAAGGTTTCACCAAGAGGTAAACGTCTAAGACTTGAATCACTTCTTGCTTTCCTCCCTCATGGAGCTGACGTGCTAACTGGAAAACATTTCCAGCACTCAAGTACATATTAAAATTAGATATATGTGAAGGCTACATACTTGACGTCAAAGATTTCCATCTTTTGTTCCGGCAGTTCGAGTTCCGCACTAAGTATCTTGCCGCGAGTCAGTTCTACACGACCCCTCAGGGCAGTGCTGGAGTGCCAGGTGTTGAGGACGCGAAGGCCAGACTTTGTCACAAAGGCATCCATAGTCATTGTGCCAGCAATCTGTATTGCTCCACTGAAAAATAGTAAAGAAACATGCATTTTCCAAAATCATTACCTGTGGGTTAGGTACATTGTATTTATTACCATAAACCTGTCTTTAGGGTTTTGATATAATACCTTGGCTGGATAGTTCCATCAATGAGAAGACTGCGTGGCTTGGTGGAAACTTTGCGGAGATCTACTTGTCCCGAAGCCTTAAAATCGATGGTTGATGTGCCATTGACGGTGAGGTTGAGGGGAAGACCAGAGCTGGTGGGGATGATCATGCTGCTGTCCAGGATCATCATACTCTGAGTGAAGGAGTAGTCATGCTTCTTCGACATCTTGATCAGAAATTCAAGGAAGTTGAACTTGGAAGCAGACGTCAAGGACTCCATTCCCTTGAAGTGTTTGTACAACATCTCGTTTCCAAAGATCCTCATGTACATGGCACCCCGAAGTTTGTCAATGTTGGCTCGACTCTGAAAAATATCACCATTGTTAACTCATGACCTGACTTGATAGAAAATGAGCAGTGTCAAATATATTGTAGTTGTACATAAATAGTTTCTCTATGTAACAGTTCAGAATTACCTGTTCTATGTTTTTCTTGGAGTTCTTGTCACCAAAGTAGCCATAAGGTCCTAGATAGGTTTCCAGGAGGTATTCGAGGCCTTCAATACGACCACCGATTTCCAGCAAATTGATGGAGTTTCCAAAGAGATCCACTGTCAGATTCATCATTGCCGATCTAGGTATGAAAGATTTCTCAGAAAAGATTAAGTTGCTGTCGACCATGGCACCAGTGTTAAATTTCTCCAGGAAAAGAGAGCCTTCATAGTTGCGAGAATACTTCAAGGTCTCCAGATCAAATTCTCTCTTGAGGACCTTGTCTTCCAGAATGCGCCTGATTGTCTGCTTCTGAGGACTGGATGTTTCCATCAAATTGGTGAGGTGAGACCAGACGAAGGACCCAACCTGATTGGCTTTCTCTGAAGCAAGAGTTTCTTGGATTCTACTGAGGACATCTTCTGAAGGACACTGCATGAGAGCCAGATAAGCAGCAATTCTCAGCTCAGAGTCCTCCTCTCTATTTCTGAAGATGGTCATCACTTCATTTCTCTGAAATAGAAAGCATGCATTTGATATTAATCAATAAAATGGTCTTATTCGTCAGTTGTTATGCAGTAAGAAAAGTGAAGATCAAAATGGTATGAAACCAAATCAACTCACATCAGCAGAGCATGAAAGGCGACGGAAGGCTTCAACAGCTGCAACGCGAACTTCCACTGGATTTCCTTCCCTGGTGAAGCAATTTCTGATGCTGTCAACGATTCTTTCTGAGTGACCTGCATTTCCAATGGCACGTAGAGTCATCAGAATTCTGTCCAGTTTATTGTCTCTTACATAGCAGCCATAGCCAATGTTCTTCTCCAGAGTCGAAAGGATGTTAGTAACAGCCATCTCATCCGAACAGCTTGGGTTATGACTACAGTAGTTGTTGATCATAGTGGACACAGGTAGCATGGCATTCAGACTCAATTCAGGGGAATCCACAAGGTCCTATAAAAAATACCAGCAAGATTAAGAGCATTATTACTTTGCTCATGTACTAGATAAGATGTCATACATTTTAAAGGTACCATTCTGTCTTACCTTGACATTTTCAAGCATTTCTAATGTTGGATGGTGAATGAGTGCAAGTGAGGTGATCCACATTTCAGCCTGGGTTCCGGTCACGTCTTTTCTGGTCAGGAGTTCAGTCAGAAACTGAACAGCAGCGCTTGTGCTTGCCATTGGAATGGCATCAATGAAGAACTTCCTACAACAAACATTGCATCTTGTTGTTTTAAAAACAATCGCCACAGGACTATGATGCTACTTTTAAACCGGATCCATATTAGTTTCATTAACACAATAATGACATGAAGCCTCTTACATAGTGCGCTCATTGTTGTCGCTGCAAAGTGATCCTCTCTTGACCTGATTGTAGACACTTCTAATGGTACTGACATCCATGTTTCTGATAATGTAGACAAGTTCAGAAAAGAGACGTGGTGTGTCTGGTCTTATGTCTTGTGTTGTATCCCTGCAGACTTCCTGCAGCTTGTTTTCTGCCTCTCTCCTTGGTTCGGCACGTTGACCATTTCCATAAACATGTTCATAGATTAGTCCTGTACGGCTGCCGATCAGATCAGGCCTTGTTGTGACACCATATCTCTCAGACTTGAAGTTGAGTCTCTGGAGGACTTTGGTTGTGGCACCATTGGTGTCCTGAGAAAAGGGCCTGAAGGTGTGTGTCTCCGTAATAAGTGCACTCTTAAGGCGACCATTCTTGTCAAGTTCTTGCTCATTCTCGTGTGTGCTCTTCATCAGGGGCATGGACTGGATATCCTAAGGAAGATCCAACAAGCAAATACTTAGCAAGGGAACATGTGAATACCAATGTACATCATGTCGACTTATTGATGTAGCGACATAATCTGAATATAGCTTCAATAATCATACTCACTGATGGCACTCTGTATGACATGGCGCGGACAGAACTCTGGTAACCATGGCGATCGGTACATCCAAGAATGTCCTTGACTTTCTTGATTGATGTGCTGTACCATCCAGTATTGGTTACTTTGTAATCTGTATAGCAGTTGCCAGCAATGTCACTCTAGAAAATCAAATTCAGGATATGTTACATGCATACAATAACATAATAATAAGATACAATAAGCCATGAATATTTCTCTATTTAGTCAGGAGTACGAAAAGTGCGGCTTACTTCTCTGACTCTCTGGTCTCTGTCGATACGATCCATGCTGTTTTGCACAGCAGTTAGAAGACCTCTCTTGATGTTTAGAGCCCATGTAGTTTCACCATAAGTTGGACACAGTTCCTCCACCACGCCATCTTGGAACGAGAATCGAAGAGGGAATCGTTCTAAATTCCTCTTGAATTCCCCAGTTTCGTCGGCATATTTCATGGGGTTGGAGGAAGAGGGGTCAGATCGGTACACTTTGACATCACGGAGCTGAGGAGAAGAAATAGCAAATAGTGTCATAACTGGTTGAACTTCTTATCACATCATGTCTTTCTTCTTACAATGGAAACGTGTTAGTTGTATGCATTTTCTGATTTACCTACCCGAAGAGCCATTTCACACTTGGACAGCACTTCGATGTCAGCCGTTGCCCGGATACCAAGAGACGCTCGTTCACTGGAGGCTCCCTCCATGGACGTCTGTGTTTGAACGTTGTACTCAAACTCATACGTCGTCCCGGGGACGTAATTGAATTTGGATGTGCCTGGAAATAACAACGATCAGTTTCGTCAGTTAGCTTGTAATATGAGATGGATGATAAGTAAATCTTTGTTCGAATTACACTCGGAAATTTCATGAACATGCGGAAAGTGATGTGATGTGGGAAAATCCTTTACTTTCTTACCTGTGCATGATTGGGCGCACGATGTCACATCTCCTTGTCTCACACTGATAGGGCCTGTCATACAAAGGGTTCAATATAATATACACACTATAGCACATATACTCATACACTATGACACCATATACTGCCGGATAAATGTATAGATCTATACAAGAATACTGAATTTGAGGACAAAATAATAAACGTTTTCAAATCATTACTATGGCGACCTGAGACATTGATTAATATGATGCTTATAATAGCGTCTTTGGTATCTACATCAAATGTCAGAGACTGGACTATTGTCGTACAATATTTGAAAATAAGGAGTTTGTTTCCTGTCAAAGGTATAGCAAAAAGACGTTTCCCCCAATCCTTTTTTCAGGACTTCCAACATAATACCTGACGATGTTTGGGTACAATCTGAGGACAATTTGTATTTATCTAAATAAACTTTGAGGATTATTATACAGCGCTGTGGTGCTCCTCACACGTGCTTTATGAGTTCATGGCATGCGTGGAAGAAATGGAAACTAGGACTTACACCAGTAACGTTACAGTCCTTAAAGGGGCATTTCATTTGCTGCCTCTATATCGCATCACATTGATACACTATGTCGATATATTTCAATCATTTTAAAGAAGTAAATAAAAACTAACATTTTTTTGCTGTAAAACAATGAAAAAATAGCTTTAATTTCTCTGAGATAGACATCAACGTTGCAATTTCTGTGCAATTAAACAAACAACAAACACAACATTAATAAGTTTAGTAGATTTCATTAAAGTAAAATGCATTCAGGAACCATTTGTCAACGTTCAACCAATGGAATGCTATTCACATATACTCAACCCTGTCACTCCATATTCTCCTAACTTCAGTGTTAAACCATCAGTGAGAGAACGTAATAATTTTAGCCTACCTGCATTGGCCGTGGCCAGTATGGCGCTGAGTACCAGTAGGAAGCTGGCCTCCATGGTGTGAAGCTCGGAGATGTACTAGCTAAGCTTGAGTCTCCGGTGGAGGTGCCCGCTCTTATATACCTACAATTTCTGGACAGTCAGCGGTCAAAAGTCAATCTATTGTCATCGCTTACTGCGCATCTTGTTATAAGAAACGTTTATTTAATGTATTTTCGAAAATCATGTATTCAACTGAATACGTTTGACTGTGACTTACACACAGGATCAATATGGCATGTCATAGCAAGAGATATGTAATTGCGTGAACAGCGCGTGCATTTGCTGATTGCTGATAGTGTTACCTCGGTAAGCAATTATGAAAATAGTTTTGTTTTGTTTCTGTGTGTGTACAATTTAGTACCCTTTTCAGAACATCTCCAGTTTGCTATGAAATAACAAACACAAGGTTATATCGTATTAAGACCTTATTTCCTGTGAGTGAGTGAGTGAGTGAATGAATGTAGTTTTACGCTGCACTCAGCTATATGGCGGTAGTCTGTAATGAATCGAGTCGGGACCAGACAATCCAGTGATCAACAGCATGAGCATCGATCTACGCAACTGGGATACGATGACATGTGTCAACCAAATCAACGAGCCTGACCACCCGATCCCGTTAGTCGCCTCTGACGACAAGCATGGGTTACTGAAGATCAATTCTAACCCGGAGCTTCACGGGTGTGAAACTGAAACCCAAGGACATGCTGCCAGTCAACCTAGAAACAATCTGGACAAACTGTGATTGTATCGTAACTTACAACAGTCGAAGCGTTTCTGAACTTTGGTCTTTGATGAACAAAAAGAGTTTATATGTTGGTTATTTAATTCATACTAGAAACAGGGGCTCACTCCAGTGTACCTTTAACGTAAGTGTGAACATCTATGTTATCGGGTGAGGTTGTGTACCAAGTGATAACATTGTACACCTTTCATCAACTGTCAACTTATATCTAAATACCTCACAGGAGAGATGATAAGAATTACCTGATAGCAAGTACGCATCATCATGTACTACACACAATGAACAATATGGATAATATGTAGAACATTTAACTTGTAAATGTAGAACATTTGTATTGAAATAACTGTGGATAACCACACTCTACCTTTGGCTTATAGTGTACATTCATTAGTTTGTGTGACACGTCATTTCTATGCAATAAGTATTCAAAATATTTATTTAGTGATATTCATTTAGCTCATGTACATCATTTATTGCGATCGGGAAGGATTTTGAATAATTCATTCAAAGAGTAAGTATTCTTTACTAAGTCAAGTCACTGCTAAAGGGAGTTTTCTAATAACGAGTGTTTATTTTAAGAAGATTGTAAGTAAAACGTCATCTCATTCTGAAATTACCTTCAGCAATCGAAATATTGTGCAGCATGCCTTCTCGTGTAACTGTAGCTTTGAAACATCCCGCACATTAAGTCTGGTCTACAGCAGTGTGTGACTGAGATATCATTTTAAAAATGGTTTTCATATTATGTTCATATGAGATAATACAAACAAATAAGCATTTCCTTGTTAGAGCTCAACATAAACCCCGAGGTTTAGCCAGCCTCATTGAAGGCTCGTTTGTTTATTGTTTGACGCCGCACTCAGCAGTTTTCCAGCTATAGACCTTTCCATGGCTTATTTCATGGGGGGCAGCCATTACCTCTGTCCCGAGACATATTTTCGAAAAAACACAGCAAGTTCCCAGACGTAAAACGTCAATGTCAATTTGCAGCCGCTTAATGGCGGACGACACTAGCGCCACCACAAAGGGGGATAACTGAGAGTGGCACGAAGCACTTCTCCGTGGAAAGGTCTATATGTGGGCGGGTTGATAATTCTAGCCCAGACAACCCGATGATTGACAATGTGAGCATCGATCTACGCAATTCGGAAACAATGACATGCATCAACACTTTTAACCTTTAACGCGTTTAAAGAAGGCACTGTTCACGTAGGTTCCTAACAAAACATTTTCAACATGACTGCATATGTTATAGATGTTGGTGGTTGTATTGGACCTTGAAGTGCATTTGGCATTTCAAAGGAAACAGAGACGTGTGTGTGTCAGCGGTGGTATAAGTTGTAATTCATGCTACAGTTAGTTAAGTGTTTAGTGATACTGAATTCAATTATTCGGTAATATGTATGACATACGGTTTCTCCATCAGAAGAATGGTCTATGAACTGTCGACCAACGATACACCAGTCTTTACTTTTGATCAATATTGCATCGTAAGAAACCAATATAATGCACTTTGCAAGAAAAAACGTTTTGACTATTTTAGAGATAAACGAAAAACAATAGAAAATAGCATATCTAACTCCAAACATTTCTGGTCTGAACTTAAACGTTTAAATAACTATCAAGTAAGGCAAAACAATATTCAGATACATGATGTGTTGGCACACTTTAGGCAGCTCTTTCGTGGTGTTCATACAGTAGATCAGAATAATGACCATAATTATCATGACAATACAGAGCAGACCAACCTGAGTCGGCAAAATTCAGAACTTACGGCAGATATACTTGATTCACCAATCACTAGAGAAGAGATCTTTGAAAGTATTGACAATCTTAAATCAAACAAATCACATGATATCAGAATTCTTTAAACACTCGTCCGACCTTATCGCACCATACCTAGAACTACTATTTAATATTATATTGGAAAATGGTACTTTCCCACACTGTTGGACGATTGGTATCATTGTTCCAATTCATAAACATGGTGATGCAAATAACCCAAATAACTATAGAGGAATAACATTACTTAGTATCTTGAGTAAAATTTTCACTTTTATAGTTAATAACAGACTTGTAAGCTGGGGAGATACAATGGATAAGATAAATGAATCGCAAGCTGGATTTAGACATGGATATACCACTGTTGACAAAATGTTTATTTTACAAAGTATAATACAAAGATATTTGAATTCAAAAGGAGGGAAATTATATGCCCTATTTGTAGATTTTGCTAAAGCCTTTGATTCTGTCCAACGCAACAAACTTTGGTCTCTATTTCAATGTCATGGCCTCAGTAACAAAATGAGTAAACGTTTGTCCAATATGTATGAGAACGTGAAGGCATGTGTTAAAAATAATCAAGAATTTTCGGAAACGTTCGAATTACAACTTGGTGTAAGGCAAGGATGTATACTTAGTCCATTCCTGTTTTCATTCTTCATCAATGAGCTTGCTGTTCAAATCGAAACCAATTGTTCAAGTGGCATACAACTTCATCCAGAAATAGTTAAAATTTTCCTTCTGTTGTTTGCAGAGGATGTTGTGTTGTTTTCAAGCACCGTTAGTGGCCTCCAAAATCAAATAAATGAACTTGAACATTACTGCGATAAATGGAAATTAACAGTAAATATAGAGAAAACAAAAATCGGATTTTAAAAAGGGAGGTAAACTTTCTAAAAAAGAAAAGTGGTTGTTTAAGGGTATACATCTAGACTGTGTTAGCTATTATACATATTTGGGATTGTATTTTACCAATGGTTTGTCTTGGAATATGCACGTCAAATATGCTTCGCTCCAAGCGCAAAAAGCACTTATCGGTATTATGAAGACAATAAGTACACTTGGAGATATTAGTTACAAAACCTTTTTTAAGATTTTTGATGCAAAAATAAACCCAATGGAGCAGAAATCTGGGGATTAGTAGACTTTCATCAAATAAAATGAATACACTTATACGCATGCAAGAAACATCTTGGTGTTAAATTGAATACAGTTAATGCAGTGGTTTACGGTGAATGTGGCAGATATCCAATGCACTTGTTTACAAGCATCAAAGTTGTCAAATATTGATTAAATCTCTTAAATATGCCTCCATATCGGTTACCGAAAAAATGTAATAATATGATGTTATTGTATGATGGCCTTCTTGGGAAAAGCATGATCCAATCCTACCCTCAACTCCACCTTTTGATGAACTTCCTGACTCCTTTAATGACTTTTTTCGAGCCAAGATTGACAAAATTCATTCAACACTGAAAGGTACTAGGCTCCAGTTTGATACTCCTACTGATACACAGTTTTCTGGTATACCACTATTGGAGTTTCATCCATTTTCTGAAAACGACATCAAGAAGATCATTTCTGGATCCAAGCCGACCACTTGTCACTTGGACCCGATTCCCACATCGCTGGTAAAAGAATTCCTGGATTTGCTGCTCCCAGTTATCACAAAGATGGTGAACAGTAGTTTGATAAGTGGTGTCTTCCCAGATTCTTTCAAACATGCCACTGTCATCCCCCTGTTAAAGAAGGATAACCTAGATCCAAACTTGCTTAAAAACTTTCGACCAGTCTCTAACCTGAAGTTTATATCAAAGATACTTGAGAGAGCAGTCAATATTCGACTCAGGGATCATTTCTCTGCCTTTTCACTTTTGGATAAATTCCAGTCCGCTTACAGATCAAATCATAGCACCGAGTCAGCCCTCCTCAGAGTCTCCAACGACTTACTTACAGCTGTTGATGAAGGCAAACTAGCTACTCTTATCTTGCTTGACCTCTCTGCTGCCTTCGATACAATCGACCACCAACTCCTTCTGGAAAGACTCAAGGGCCAATTTGGAATCCATGGGGTACCCCTCATCTGGTTACAATCTTATCTCGAAAGCAGAAGTCAGACTGTCCTGTTAGACAATATCAAATCACAAACCTCCTTGGTCCACTGTGGTGTACCCCAGGGATCGGTACTCAGTCCGCTTCTTTTCATAGCATACACGACCGATGTTGCAGACGTAATTGACAAACATGGCATTTCCCATCATTCGTTTGCAGATGACACTCAACTTCAGAAAAACTCAACTCCCAAGGACTTTCACACTGGTCTTCATAAAATAACAGACTGTACTAAAGATGTTAAGTCATGGATGACAAACAACTTGCTAAAGTTAAATGATGACAAAACTGAGGTGATGGTTATTGGATCCAGGCAAATGCAAAAACAAATTACCACCAAAACTGTTCTGGTAGCAGATGCAGAGATACAAGCTGTCGACTCTGTTAAAGACCTTGGAGTTACACTTGACTCACACCTGGCGATGGACACTCATGTAAAATCAACTCTGCAGAATATGCTTCTTTCATCTACGAGCCATTGGCAGAATACGCCATCTCATCAGTCGTGATGCAGCACACGGTCTGGTCCAGGGACTTGTTATATCAAGAATTGATTACTGCAATAGCCTCCTTTTTGGTATTTCTCAGAAGCTGCTATCAAAATTGCAAAATGTCCAAAATACAGCCTCCCGAATCATAAGCAGAACTTCAAAGCGCTCACACATAACACCTGTCATGAAAAACCTCCACTGGCTGCCTGTTAAATCAAGAATTGACTTTAAAATATTGTGTTTTGTCTACAAATGCCTCAATGGCATAGGCCCAGAATACCTGAAGGAACTCCTTACCCCGTACACTCCAGAAAGACAGCTCCGTTCTCAGAATCTGAACCTACTCTCTGTGCCTCGGTTCAAACTGCAAACTTTTGGAAGGAAATCCTTTGTCTGCTCTGCCCCTCTACTCTGGAACTCTCTCCCTATCACCATTAAATCAGCAGTTGACTTTTATTCCTTCAAACGACTTCTCAAGACTCATCTGTTTTCACTGCATTATGACTAGCAACTAGTCCCTTATTGTATATATGTATTATTATCCACTCACTTTGTTAGCGCTTTGAGCATGGGCCTTGTGCATGGAAAAGGCGCATTATAAGTTCACATTTATTATTATATTATGATGAAAATGGACAAAGAAATTGGACATCTCATGTTAAGAACTTCTTATTTTCTATTGGCTTCGGAAACGCTTGGAATGCACAATATGTAGAATGACATACGTCATTCCTTCAGTCGTTAACCATAAGACTTAAATACATATACCTTCAAACATGGTGTGAGAAAATATCTTTGTCAAGTAAATGTTTTTACTATTCAAAATTTAAAAAAGATCTGTTCAATGAAGTATACTTATCATGTGTTAATATAAAGAAATTTAGGCGATCACTTGCAAGATTCCGATGTTCATCTCACGATTTGTTGATTGAAAGCGGCAGATATATAAATGTTAAAAAAGAAGATAGAATATGTACACTTTGTAATTTAAATGAGATTGAAGATGAATATCACTTTCTCCTCATCTGTCCATCATATAATTCAATACGTTGTTAATACATTAAACGACATTACTATATCCATCCAAGCATCATAAAATTCTCTACTCTTATAAGCAGTAAAAATCTATATATATTACGATATCTTGCCATGTTCATTCACATTGCAATGCTGTATAGAACAAAAGTTTTATCACTGTAATGTAAATATATTTATTTATGTAATTCCCCATCATATATGCATGTGTACTATAGGCCTGTGGCCTCTTCAGTACGAAATAAAGATTGATTGATTACTAGTGGCTTCAACTGACAACCAAGAAATGGTTATTTGATAGTGATGTATTTTCATAGTGATGATAACCATGACCGATACTAAATGCTATGAATACACAATACCTACATATTAGATACCAAAAGATTAATATCAATGATTATCTCACAGTACTCAGACCAGTAATCTTTTCATAACGCGCATAATCTGTTGGTCAAATCCATTTTTCAAGTGAATTTATCTTTGCAAGACTCTTGACTAAACCCACCTCAGTTTGGTGTGATTTGTCTGCGGTACTGAACAAAATAATTATTCATAAATTACATTCTGAAATACAGTTATAATGTCTTTATTAGAGTTTCTAACGGGGTTAATGAAAATTAGGACTTTCAATGTCATATCAACACAATTATTACAACAAGTTCAACGAGGGGTTAAACGCTACTTCAGAAATGCATCGGCCCCATGATTACATACACAGCTGAAATGCCAACAAACAATCGACTCTGCTAGTTATGAACAAAGTCCCCAGTGTTATGTCACTTTGTGTTCACGTGACGGGCACATTGCGGTCAGGGAGCAAACTTTCTACCAGGACCCTTGAAGCACGCGGTGCGTGGTCACTGGCGTTCAGAGCATCGTGGACTGTGGACTGTCCACATTGTTCCTCACTGGGTGGGGGCTGTGTGTAGCTGTGCATCTTGTAAACAGGATGGCAGAATGTGTGAACAACAGTGTAGACAATAGTAACAATTGTACGTGGGATACCAGGAAAATAGGTTAGGGAAATTCAAACTTCAGTAAATTTAAGGTCACTGTTTCACATCTCAATTAACCGTTACAATGATGGTAACATTAACACGTATATCCCTTTTCTTTCTTTTCTGTTTATTTTTTTAATTTTTAATTGTATTTTGGAGAGGGGTGCAGTTTGGGATTTATAATTCCTTTTGTTGAAATGTATCATTACAGAATATGCAGTCCTTTGATACTCATCGACTAACGGGATCGGGTGGCCAGGCTCGCTGACTTTGATGACATATGTCAACGTATCCCAGTTGCGTTGATCGATGTTCATGCTGCTGATCACTGGATTGTCTGGTCCAGCCTCGATTAATTACTAACTACCGCCATATAGATGGAATAGTGCTGAGCAACCAACCAACCATCAAATGATTAATATACAAAACTATGCATCATAACATTTGTGACATTTTTTAAATGTATTTGTGTGAAGGTTGTTCAGTCAGCAATAATATGGCTCTATTGCTTTGGATAATAGAATCTCGGCCAAGACACCCTGTGCACATGAGCAACGACTAAAGATACACAATCAGGGGCATTATTATTTACAACTGGGACAGTGGATATCCTGTGCACGTGGTTAAAGCATTCGCTCGTCGCGCCGAAGAGTTTGCGTGTGGTTTCACGACCCTTCTAGCAATATTCCAGCAATATCACGGTGTGTGTGTGTGTGTGTGTGTGTGTGTGTGTGTGTGTGTGTGTGTGTGTGTGTGTGTGTGTGTGTGTGTGTGTGTGTGTGTGTGTGTGTGTGTGTGTGTGTGTGAGACACTAGAAATGGGCTTCACACATTGTACCCATGTGGGCAATCGAACCCTGGTCTTCTGCGTGACGAGCACACGCTTTAACCACAAGGCTACCCCACAGCCCCCGTCACGCCGAAGACGTGATTTCCATATGGTTACAATAACCGAAGCCCACTTGTGGTGTCCCCCATTGTGATATTGCTGGAATATTCCAAATAATACGTTGGAGGTAGTTTTGGCATTTAAAGATAGTCAAACATTCATTTCTTGGTCATATTGGGCAAAACATACACTTTTCCCTCATTGACCACGCCCTCTACCATTAGACCAACATCTACACCATATGCCGATCCGCGGTGTGTGTGTGTGTGTGTGTGTGTGTGTGTTTTCCCCAGGGGTTTGGACACCCCTTTTTGCGGGGGGGTTCAGGGGGTTGAAAACAACCCCACCCCACCCCTTTTCAAAATTCCTGGATCCGCCTATGTACACATATACGGGGTATTTCAGGATCGAATTCAGATTCAATGTGAATATAATACATATGCATACTTTCAAATTTAATGAGGAACTTTTTTAGTTTTCTTTATACCATTCCCTCGTGTGAAGTTCTGAATCTGAAATCAAGGCCATTGATGACAGGGGACACCGCACCCAGCCACCCACCACCAATCCTACCCACCAAGCCAAACCCCCAAGAGAAGCAAAAGCCAGAAAAATAATTCAAGATGAGCAATTGTATGAGTGGCTCTAGGAATCAGCCAGAGAAACTAGGATTTATTATGTGAAATATTTATTCCGGAATTGTCAAGGCGTGCTGACAGTATGTACTCAATGACTTTAGGTCTTGTACAGCCGCAAGTGACAAAGTTCAAACCTCATCGGATATAAAGCATGCCCATACATTCGACAACACATGGACGTCATATAATATAATATAAATAAATATGGCCACTTATATAGCGCTGAACTCCACGCATGCTCCTAGCACATACACCATAAGTTCTGTTTGTTTTGTGTGAATAATGCCGTATGCCATTCTGGAAAGGTACGGAACGTTTCTTCCATGACCCATTGTTGGCATGCTGACTGACGGAAAGTGTACACTTGAAAACTGGTAAAGCGTACTCAAAACGTCACCACTTAGACTTGCACAAGTCTCTAGGGTAAAACTTAATAATAAGTTTAAATGACAATTTATTAAATACTGTCCGTTTATCTTCACTTGCCTCTTCGAAGGATAGAATCACTATGCATGTACATCCATGGGCTCAGCATTCGGTACAGCCTTGGAGCAAGGCTAGTCACCACCAGGCTGAAAACAGCAACCGAATAATTGCAAACCTACTAAAAAAAAAGTAAGGTCCAACACCATTAGGACACATGTATGAAATACATCACCATCGAATAACTATTTCTTGTTGGTTTCATTTTAAACCACCATCAATCATTGGTGCATACTATTTGTTTCCATACAGTTTACATGTTAAAGCATGAGCAGAAAGTGATGGATATGAGGCATGTTGACTCAACATCTAAATATCATAAAACGTTTCTAAACGGAAAGATTGAAATGTATACTACAAACAAAAAGTATGGGAACACCCTAAAATGTGATAGTCATATACTGGACAAAAATAGTTAGGGATATATGCAAATTTTAAAATTATGAATACTGACCTATTTATTCATTTACACACTAATACAATATCAATCATAAAAATACCAATATCCCTAACTTATTTTGTCCAGTATATATAAACTTAAACGTGGTGAGGTCATTTATATTCTAAGGTAAATGCAACTTTTTGTGTGCTTAATGGGGACTGTAATCGACATGTTGGATTATGCAGTGAAGCAACTGATTCAATATTCGTTGAGTTTGAGTGAAATGAGACATTGTCAAAAACCACAAGCTGCATGGAAAGTCAGTCTTCCACATGCACTAGGCTGTTGTGTTTGGGTGTTTGTAGTATAAAAACCCAGTATAAATGGTCAACAAGTTATCATTGAACTTATTCTATAACAAGGATATGTTCTCTGTACTGCATCATTATCCTCGAGTACTTCTTTTTCTATTCTGTGTGATTGCCACTGAGCACTCTTTATTACAAAGACCTGTTCTCTAGAATGCGTGGTTGTCCTTGAGATCTTTTCATAGCAAGGACGTGTTCTCTGCACTACATGAGAATGCTCGAACCCTCTTCATCACAAGACAATTAGTATATTCGGCCCAATTACAACTGAGCCCTCTGCATATCTACTTGAAGGAGGTCAACCTGTGGTATCTTTCATAATGACAGTGGTAAACACGGAAATGCGTATCCATTATATTTCAAGATACGATGTTTTCTGAAAGCTATAAATAATATTTTCATTAAGGTCAAAAATCACTCACAATTATCTGTTTTGAGGTAGGATGATTACGAAAAGCAAAGAATGTTAAATGTATTTTCATCGATGTAAAAAGGATATTTATCACAACTACAGGCAATGGTAATTGTTACAGACTTATTTTATGAAAACTATCAAAACTATCAGTAATGATAACGTAAGAGTTTTGATGTAACCTGTCAGCTGCCATCATCATCCATGAGTCATAGTTCGTTGAAGCAGATGACCCACATCGACTTGACAAACTATACTTTAACCCCATAAATGCTAACTAAGCATGTGGCATGTTAGTCATCATGCCAAACAAAGTCTGCACGAGACTTGTAGAAAATCGGGAAGTATTTTGATGAGGGATGTAATGAAATATATACTTACATATAATTCTAAAAGTAGGGGTATTAGAAAAAAATTAAGTTTTGACAAACGTCATTTGCATCAACGTTTCTGTCTGTGAACCTAACATCGGTACACATACTAAAGTTTCCACGTTCCACATGCAACAGCGCCATACACGTGCGTTCCTGATTTTGCGACTTTATGGGGAGGTCGATATATCTGTGTGGACCATTATGTCTGCCAATCTTACTGATTTCCTTATCATTCAGTTGTCATTTACTTGATTGCATCCATTTCGCGGTGAGCGTTTACGGGCTAATGGCGCATTGGAAACTGACAGAAGACAGCTTGCAGTGGCCAATACCTTCAATGTTTCACAGTTTTTGATTAGCAGACACTGAAACATGTACCAACAAACAACCGTTGACATATGGCGGCGGTCTGTAAATTATCGAGTCTGGACAAGACAATCCAGTGATCAATAGCATGAGCATCGATCTACGTAATTGGAATACGATGAAATGTGTCAGCTAAGTCAGCGAGTCTGACCACCCGATCCCGTTAGTATCCTCTTACGACAAGCATGGGATGCTGAAGACCAATTCTAACCCGGATCTTCACGGGTGATTTGGAGAATGAGTGACAAATCGTGGCGATATTAAACATTACTGATGATCTATTGTCCTACTTCATTAAATGGCTGTCGTGCATTCCCGATTCGTTCTTTTTATACAAATGTTACAAAAAACTAATATCTCTTACAATTTTGGTAATTTGAACAAACTTCCGTGGATCCCCTAATTGTTTTGAAGAGCATTAAGTAAGTATTCAAATGAATAATAGATAAACCTTCAGCTGGGGAAGAGTTGGCTCCTCGACAATAAATATGCCTATTCATATAACATGAAGGTATTTGTTAAATTTTAGGGTCGATATGTTATGATGGAAGCCTATGACTCCCAACTCCACTGTATCCTACTAGTATCTCTCCTGCTGGGCTTTCGTACTTCTCAGGTCAGCTGTACCGTGGAAGTAACTTCAATGCGCAGTAGTTGTTTACAGACCTTTATGCTTGGAGATTGTTTTTGCATGTGTTTATACCAGGTGTTTATGAAGGGTGTTTATGATGCGGTAGAACACCTGGCACCGTCACTATCTGAAAGTGAATCAATTAACACATGCTCATTATATCCGTAGTTCGTTATATGCATACAATATGCAGCAAATGACCAGGACCAATAATACCCAAACAATTCGGTATAGCCCTCAGCTCGTTACAAGTGTGTTCGTTGTAATCGTAGTTTATTGTACTGTGCTCGGAACTGTACAAATGACATGGATTTCTTGAGAAGGGCAAAACCTGAAGTGTGCATTCCCTCACGTCAGAGACTTCCTATCAGTTTTAACAGGAATTAATTATTATTGTCGCCTTTTTTGCTCTAGGTAAAGTGTATTTGTTCAGTGAGTGAGTGAGTAAGCGAGTGAGTGAGTGAGTGTTGCAGCTTTTCGCGGCGATGTATTGTTAAGGTATCCATAATTAAATAATGTCTATGCAATGCGCGGTATGAGTCCATGTCCGGAATTGTCTTTAGCGGTGTTTAGGTCAAAGCCAATTCGTCCAATACATAAACATTACAATTGATACATATGAAGGGACTTATACTGAACATTTGATGCATGTTCGAAGTCGATGTTTCTCTTCAACCATGTCATCTTCTTGTTCAATATATACTGTCCAAATACACTGATGTGACGTTCTATATTTATTACACCCAGATCTAACTCTGAACCTTACTACTGAAACTTCTGCACTGGGGTGACCTTGACCCCAGTATCACTCCGTAGCAAAGGACGTATTACACATGCATACGTGATTTCACATTCCTCCGGGCTGACGTCATCAATCAAATGCCAGGTTCTAATCACGAAAGAAACAAAATTAACAACAAAAGTAAAACATATCTTATCGTAGAACACTAGGTTCGCTTGATGTTGTTCTTTCAAACCCCTCACCCCAGCCCAACTCCTCACCCAAACACAAACTACCTCACTCTTCATCCAATCCCCAGTCATCACCCCCTCCGCATTCATCACCCACTCACAAACTACTTCACTCTTCAACCCACCCTAGTCATCACCCCCACCCAGTTCCTCACCCACTCACTGATTTCTTCACTCCAGGCTCGCTTGAATACCGGGTTCAGATTGATTCGGTTCTTTCTATTTCAGCACCACACCTCACCCATTCATCACACTGTTTAACTCATCACCCCCACCCCAGTCATCACCCCAACCAGACCCTTCATCCTTCAAACCTTTACTTCATCCACTCCACCCCAGTCATCACTACTTCACTCTTTCACCCCCACCCCAGTCATCACCGCCTCACAAACTACTTCACTCTTCACCCCCACCCCAGTCATCACCGCCTCACAAACTACTTCACTCTTCACCTCCACCCCAGTCATCACAGCCTCACAAACTACTTCACTCTTCACCCCCACACCAGTCATCACCGCCTCACAAACTACTTCTGCACTCTTCACCTTCCACCCCAGTCATCACCGCCTCCAGTCAAACTACTTCACTCTTCACCCCCACCCCAGTCATCACCGCCTCTACTTCACTTCACTCCACCAGTCATCACGCCTCACAAACTACTTCACTCTTCACCCCCACCCCAGTCATCACCGCCTCACAAACTACTTCACTCTTCACCCCCACCCCAGTCATCACCGCCTCACAAACTACTTCACTCTTCACCCCACCCCAGTCATCACCGCCTCACAAACTACTTCACTCTTCACCTCCACCCATCCCGCCTCACTACCCAGTCATCACCGCCCTCACAAACTACTTCACTCTTCACCCCCACCCCAGTCATCACAGCCTCACAAACTACTTCACTCTTCACCTCCACCCCAGTCATCACCGCCTCACAAACTACTTTCTTCTCTTCACCAGTCATCACCGCCTCCGCCTCACAAGCTACTTCACTCTTCACTTCCCACCAGTCATCACCGCCTCACAAACTACTTCACTCTTCACCCACCAGTCATCACGCCTCCAGCTCTTCACTCTTCACCTCCACCCCAGTCACCGCCTCACAAACTACTTCCTCTTCACCCCCACCCCAGTCATCACCGCCTCACAAACTACTTCCTCTTCACCCCCACCCCAGTCATCACCGCCTCACAAACTACTCACTCCCTCTTCACCCCCACCAGTCATCACCGCCTCACAAACTACTTCACTCTTCACCTCCACCCCAGTCATCACCGCCTCACAAACTACTTCACTCTTCACCCCACCCCAGTCATCACAGCCTCACAAACTACTTCACTCTTCACCTCCACCCCAGTCATCACCGCCTCACAAACTACTTCACTCTTCACCCCCACCCCAGTCATCACCGCCCTCACAAACTACTTCACTCTTCACCCCACCCCAGTCATCACCGCCTCACAACTACTTCACTCTTCTTCACAGCCTCACTTCTCCCCCCCAGTCATCACCAGCCTCTCACAAACCAAACTACTTCCTCTTCACCTCCACCCCAGTCACCGCCTCACACCGCCTCACAAACTTCTTCACTCTTCACCCCCTCACCAGTCATCACCGCCTCTACAACTATTTCATTCTTCACCTCCACCCCAGTCATCACAGTCATCATCAGTCATGCCTCACAAACTACTTCACTCTTCCACCCCCACCAGTCATCACCGCCTCTCACAAACTACTTTCTCTTCACCTCCACCCCTCACAGCCTCACAAACTACCCTCTTCACCTCCCCCAGTCATCATCGCCTCATAAACTACTTCACTCTTCACCCCCACCCCAGTCATCACCGCCTCACAAACTACTTCACTCCTTACCCCCACCCCAGTCATCATCGCCTCACAAACGACTTCACTCTTCACCTCCATCCCAGTCATCACCGCCTCACAAACTACTTCACTCTTCACCTCCACCCCAGTCAACACCCCTGCCAAACCCCTCACCCCATCCCATGACCCTCACCCAATCTCTTCACCCCTCACCAGCCTGCTTTGTGGATTACAGATAGAAAACCGTCACTATCTTGAAAAATGTGTTTTGTGTCCACAGATTTTGTATCAATCTGTACATCCCAAACGTCGTTAGCATCAGTAGATAATCATCGTCATCATCATCAACATCTTTGTCGTCATGATCATGTTATAGTTATCCATGATTTTTTTTTTAAAATGCGCTTTTCTCTTTTGAGTAGTATTTGCCTATTTCTACCTGAGACATAAACAGATAATACCAATTCGCAGTCTATTAATGACGATATTACCAAGAGGAACCTCCATACATTATACCCACAAGTCAAGTTGACCTGGTCCTACATTATGACAAGCAAACTCATCGGCCATCCAGCCCACACAAGTTAATATCCACGAGAATTAGGATTTTCATTTTGTCGGCACACTCTTTGTACCGGAAAAACCACTTATCCTATTTTCCTTTCACATCACAGTGCCTAACCGAGAGTTTGTCCCAGTTGTAATCAAATCAGTGCATCTTGGTGTGATCATAAATTAGAGTTAATTGTTTCGTTATCTACAATACGTCAGCGGGTGTGATTGATTGGGTCCTCCATCGTGTCCTGTCGTTGTTGCTATTGTATTATCATAGTCATGTGCCCTTGTGGAGATAGGAGCACTCGGTGATAAGGGACATACCAGAACGAATGTTCGCGAACACTATTATATATGTATATATACTGATAACAACGAGTATCCTATCTTCTATTATCTGACATATGATGGGTGTTACATATCAGTTTGATAAGACACTAATAAGAGGTGATCTTATTAGCGGACGAAATGCTAATATTGTTCAGTTGCTATCCCTGAATCTTTTTGCTCAATGTAAAAGCATGGCTTATGTTTTTACCTTCTTTAACATTTATCATAAATCTGTCTTAGATTATGTCACGATGGGGATCACAGAAAATGTGTTCACTTGTTCGATGCAGGTGCTTGGTTAAACATGGAGTGTTTGGATGTTGTTGGAAGTAAGGGGGTTGTTGGCAGCAAGAATTTGTGATGAGTATGGGGTTCAGATGGGAATGATGATTCGGACGCGAGGTTAAGGCTTGGGCCGAGGAGAGTAAAGGGAATGAGGCTGACAGCGGGATGTGAGAGGGTCGGGGATCAGGTACCGGTGGGTGAATGGCTGGACTGAGGAGTTTAGGAGCGGGGATGAGAAATGTGAGCAGAGGTTCATTTTGGGATGAAAATTCAGGGCGTACATGAATAGAATACCCGAGATTATGATGGGGTTTGAGGTTGAGATGCGGGTATGAGGAGATGGCGGTGGAAGAGATGGGAGGGTGATGGGTGGAGGCAAGGTGTCGAGTTCGGTGGAGGACGGGAGGTGTTTGGTGATTGAGATTGGTTGTGGTGAGGACCAGGGTCAGATGTGCTTTGGGGTGAAGAGTTGAGTGATTTGAGGGTGATGAGTGGGATGGAGTTGATAAGCGGGAGGGAGGTGATGAGCGGGGTGCAAGTGATGAGTTGGATGAGGGTGATAAGTGGGACCGAGATGATGAACGGGCTGTCGGATGGAGGTGATGAGCTAGATGGAGATGATGAGCTTGATAGAGGTGATGGGCGGGATGGAGATGATGAGTTGGTTGGAGGTGATGATGATGGAGGATGGTGGATGAGTTGGTTGGAGGTGATGAGCTGGATGGAGGTGATGGGCGGGATGGAGATGATGAGTTGGTTGGAGGTGATGGGCGGGATGGAGATGATGAGTTGGATGGAGGTGATGGGCGGGATGGAGATGATGAGTTGGATGGAGGTGATGAGTGGGGTGGATATGGTGAGTTGGTTGGAGGTGATGGGCGGGATGGAGATGATAAGTTGGGTGGAGGTGATGGGCGGGATGGAGATGATGAGTTGGGTGGAGGTGATGGGCGCGATGGAGATGATGAGTTGGTTGGTGGTGATGAGCAGGATGGAGATGATGAGTTTGATGTGAAAGGTGATGGGCGGGCTGGAGATGATGGAGTTGGATGGAGGTGATGGGCGGGGTGGATGTGGTGAGTTGGATGGAGGTGATGAGTGGGGTGGATGTGGTGAGTTGGATGGAGAAGATGAGCTTGATGGAGGTGATGGGCGGGATGGAGATGATGAGTTGGTTGGAGGTGATGGGCGGGATGGAGATGATGAGTTGGGTGGAGGTGATGGGCAGGATGGAGATGATGAGTTGGGTGGAGGTGATGAGCGGGATGGAGATGATGAGTTGGATGGAGGTGATGAGTGGGGTGGATATGGTGAGTTGGTTGGAGGTGATGGGCGGGATGGAGATGATAAGTTGGGTGGAGGTTATGGCGCGATGGAGATGATGAGTTGGGTGGTGATGAGCGGGATGGAGATGATGAGTTTGATGAAGGTGATGGGCGGGCTGGAGATGATGAGTTTTATTGAGATGATGGGCGGGGTGGATGTGGTGAGTTGGATGGAGGTGATGAGTGGGGTGGATGTGGTGAGTTGGATGGAGAAGATGAGCTTGATGGAGGTGATGGGCGGGATGGAGATGATGAGTTGGTTGGAGGTGATGGGCGGGATGGAGATGATGAGTTGGGTGGAGGTGATGAGTGGGGTGGAAATGATGAGTTGGGTGGAGGTGATGAGTGGGGTGGAGATGATAAGTTGGGTGGAGGTTATGGCGCGATGGAGATGATGAGTTGGGTGGTGATGAGTGGGGTGGAGATGATAAGTTGGGTGGAGGTTATGGCGGGATGGAGATGATGAGTTAGGTGGAGGTGATGAGCGGGGTGGAGATGATGAGTTGGGTGGAGGTGATGAGTGGGGTGGAAATGATGAGTTGGATGGAGGTGATGAGTGGGGTGGATATGGTGAGTTGGTTGGAGGTGATGGGCGGGATGGAGATGATAAGTTGAGGGTGGAGGTTATGGCGCGATGGAGATGATGAGTTGGGTGGTGATGAAGCAGGCGGGATGGAGATGATGAGTTTGGTGAAGAAAGGTGATGGGCGGGCTGGAGATGATGAGTTTTATGGAGATGATGGGCGGGGTGGATGTGGTGAGTTGGATGGAGGTGATGAGTTGGGGTGGATGTGGTGAGTTGGATGAAGATGGAAGCTTGATGGAGGTGATGGGATGGATGGGATGATGAGAGTTGGTTGGAGGTGATGGGCGGGATGGAGATGATGAGTTGGGTGGTGATGAGCAGGATGGAGATGATGAGTTGGATTGAGGTGATGGGCGGGGTGGAGATGATGAGTTTGATGGAGGTGATGGGCTGGGTGGAGATGATGAGTTTGATGGAGGTGATGGGCGGGGTGGAGATGATGAGTTTGATTGAGGTGATGAGTTGGTGGATGTGGTGAGTTGGTTGGAGGTGATGGGCGGGATGGAGATGATGAGCTGGGTGGAGGTGATGGGCGCGATGGAGATGATGAGTTTGATGGAGGTGATGAGTGGGGTGGATGTGGTGAGATGGTTGGAGGTGATGAGTTTGATGGAAGTGATGAGGTGGTGGAGATGATGAGTTTGATATTAGTGACGAGTGGGGTGCAGGCGATGTGTGGGAGGGAGTGATGAGTGGGGTGGAGATGGTGAGTTTGATGGAGGTGAGGTGGGGTGGAGGTGATGAGCGGGGTGGAGGTGATGAGCGGGGTGGAGATGATGAGCTGAGTGGAGACGATTAGTTGGATGGAGGCGATGTGTTGGGGGGAGGTTATGAGATTGGTTGGGGTGGAAGAGCGGGTCAGACGTGCGTTTGGGTGATGTGTCTGGTGAAGGTGATGACTAGTGAATTTCGGTGATCAGTGAGGTATGGACGAAGGACTGACTTGAGCGTGTTGGGGTGATGGATGGTAAGGGTGAGTGGGAGGGTGAGTGGAGTGTATGGGGTTAGGGAGGGAGGCAGCCTTATACTTTTACCTCTTTGGTAAAGCCCACGAGTTCGGGAATAATGCTGACCAAAAGAAAGATGATACACCAAACCTGGTGTTCGAGCTCCCTCACACGCCTAAAGAGCACAATTCGGAGTACATAAGAGTCGTACTTTACTGAAAGTTAGATGTGTAACCATTATCTTCGCATGGAAACAGGAACATTATAAACATACCACATGTTAATGGAATTATAATCTTCGTGACGTAATAGACATTGGAGATAAGTTCTTTTCCTGTGTCCAGTTTTTGAATCAGAAATATTCAAACACTTCTCAATCTGCGTATAATTACAAAAGAGCAAGCCTAATTAAAATGTGTAACTCACACATCAAACATGTACGCTATAATAATACGTAGACAAAATGCCCCCGCACAACACATTAATATCCAGCGCTCTTAGAACCACACTTCTCAGCGACGTCCTAAAAACCGTACTTTACACAATCATGGTCACACGTAAATATGGCGTGCAAAGGCATCTACTCATGACACCAAGCATTGCATTGTATTGTCGAGAATACATTATTTACAAACCGTCATCATATAGCTGGAATATTGCTGAATGGCAAAAAGGAATATACGCATTCATTCTTGAATGAATACAGTGTTTATATTTAAATTATATTGTTAATATATATATAACATGTGTGAGCCACACATGCCGGTTCTGTTCTATAGCGTTCTGATAATGCCTGCATGTATGTCTCTGGAGTCATAGGAAAGCATCGACAACAATATACAAACTCAATCATGTGATATACTCAAACACCGTTGTATCGAAGTACTTCGAGTTAACCGAGGTTCGACACAAAACAAAATGATGACTAAAATGAATAAGCTGAGACCAAGCTTTTACA